TCTCTCACACACACACACACACACACACACACGCGCACACACACGCGCACGCACACACACGCGCGCACACACACACACACACACGCTCCTGTCACACGGACCTCCTCCTGCTGTGAGCTCCTCCAGAGGACGGAGAGCTGCGGCGGCGGGACGTCTGCGCCGCAGGAGACGAGCTGTGATCCTCAGACTCGCTGGACACAGTCACACTCCTGAGGAGAAGACACATGTCACATACGGCCTATCAGAGCCCTGAGGATGATGATGCACAGTCACAAACACACCTGTTCTGCCTCGGTGCGTCTGTGGCGCTAGGACGAGCAGGAGTCGAGTGCTGGACGGATGAACCTCCATCCTCCACCTCCATCTCACTGTGAAACACACACAGTCAGTTATTCAGTTCAACACTCCACAGGCAAAACCACTCGACATGTCTCCTTTCAGACTGAAGGAAAGAAAACATCCAAAACTCACATTTAAGTGTCCATTTTACTGCCATTATTCAATACATATCTTAAAAGGCCGCGAGTTTTTTTTTTTTTTTTACCAATGCTGTTGTTCATGATTGAGCTTTAATCGTCTGAATTCAAAGACAGACGTACCTGCTCTGGTTCTGTGTGTCTCTGTCTGAGCGTGTGACGGATGCAGGGCTGCTGGGACGAGCAGGAGTCGAGACCGGAGCGGATTCACCCACACTGAAACACACACACACACACACAGTGCAATCAGCAGTGGACAGTGAACAGTCAACAGCTACATATAATTTTGGGCTTTACTATCCATCATCCAGAGTTGATAATGCTCAAAAAGATAAAAAGTTATAGACACTGAAGTGCCTTGAAACAAATTGTACCACACTGAATTTTTTTAAATTTCATATAAAAAAATAAATGAAATCAGTCCTGGAGCAATCCAGGAAAATAATGGGTTGAAAGTCACATGTCTCATGAGTTTCTGTTTCAAATCGGAGTAAGATGCCATGAAAAATGAGATTCCTGCAACCATTTTTCTGAGACTATGTCTCCATTACAGATTTGCGCAAAACTTTGGCAATATTTTATAAATGTCGATAAAAAGGTATTGCGAAATGACGGCGTTTCCATTAACCAATGTTATGCGACTAAAACGTAACCTTTGGCCTCCAAGTCAAATAAGTCATGGCAAAGGATTTTGGCTATACAGGGTTTGTACAGGAATCATGGAGTTAAATTTAATACCTTTTAAGACCTTTTTAAAGACTCTTTCCATACATTTTAAGACCTCATCGCCACTCCAAGTTTTAACCGTTACATCAGCGACACTAACTTACATTTACTATATACTGTTTGTAAGACAGCACAACTAAACAGTCTTAGTTTGTGATAACTCCTTATCAATACAACATAATTCAGAAGTGGGGAACGAAGCACAAGATAATTAATTGAGTAACTAACCAATGCAACCCAACAAACAATTATTAGACCAATAAACAAAACAACTGACAAAACTTAGAGGAGGGGAAATAAAGCTCTCTGAGTTCACACAGTATATTCAAAAGATGAATGTCACATCAACTCTTATAACTGTCTGCAACCCATAGCTGTTTTGTGGAGCACTTCTCATGACAAACACTTGACTGATCAGACAGTTTAGCTGTGATTACAGAGTGCTTGATTTGATCAGAGAGTCAGTACTGTACCTGATCATGGAAGGTCAAATAATGATCACAATTATTACATTTTAATTGTGCATCCCAAGCCCATGCCAGTAAAACAACCCTGCATCCAACACCAGCTGCAGAAGTCAGATTTGACTGATCACGGGTCAGAAGTAAGGAGCGATAACTGACAAGATGTTGGAGGATTTGCTCCTCAACTGATCCCGAGCTCACTGACAAATATCTTTTATCGTAAGGTGTGCTCCCTTTACACAGTGCGCGCGCGATCGCGAAATCGAAAGTGAACTGCGACTGCGAGCGCTCATTCAAAGGGGATTTAAATACCCCACATATTGATAGCGGCGCCCTGATGCACGAAAATTATATACAATATTAGAATGTTTGCGGGAGCGGACACAGCACAGAGAGCCGCTTCAGAAACGTGTGGCGCGGCTGGATTCTGGAATAAACACAAGCATTGAGTGGCCGCAATCAGCTTCAGTGGCCGTATCAGAGCCACACTGCACCGCAGACGTGTGCAGCGTAAACTGTCTAAGCATTAATGGTAGGAAAGCCCCTTATACTGGAGCGCCGCCACGTTTGAAGTGTTTCTTGGAGGTTATAGTACACTGATTGTCTAAGCATTAATGGTAGGAAAGCCCCTTATACTGGAGCGCCGCCACGTTTGAAGTGTTTCTTGGAGGTTATAGTACATTGAAGAATGACCATATGACTTTTTACATACGCCATGTGACCTGTAAATGCGAAAAAGCCGTTTCCATTGCAGTTTTGCAAATTATTCCTTTATCGCATTGCCTGAAAAACCACCTCATGCGAGCGTAAAAACGTTTTTGCGATATATGTGCGTTTTTGCAAAATTTACGCGTTTCCATTAGGCGTATTTTCAATTCGCAATTTGAAGGGTAATGGAAACACGTCTAGTGATAGCTGTCATACACATTAATCACACGCTGATGTGCGCTCATATAGGTAGTAATCATGCAGATACAGCCACATTCCCCACAAAACACACACATATATGAAAAATGTTGCATAGGAAGAAAAAAAGAAGAATTATTTGTGCATAAAGCAGATTGCTAAGTTATGCCCCTAACAGATGCCAGGTGCGTCACGAGCGAGCGCCAGAATTCAAATAAACAATATTCTGCGTATCTTTGACTTTTTTTTAGTGGATGGTCTCATTCTGTTTGTGACACTGTATGCTACAAAACCATGTTGCTTTTTACTACCAAGATGCAGTTTTTTGAGCGCAAGTTATTCCATAAAGGATAAAAACAATAACTGTCCCCGAAGAAATGAGACGTAAACAAAGGAATAACCATCCATATTACAACGTTATTGTTTCTTTGGACTAAAAGTGACAAAGTGCTCTATGCATGTTGTTCAGTGGACCCGTACCTTTCTAACTAAACTGGGATTTACAGCAGTGGATGCGTTTGGGACTCGTTATTACGATGAATCTGGTATGTACTGTGTTTTGATTATGCATGTTTTGATGTGTACTGCTTACACAGCTTTAGCAAATACATTCTTTATAAGCTTTCCATTGAAAAACAGCGATCTATAGTTGATGCTTGAGGCTTAGACCTTTATTAAGGTCCTCATTAAACCCTCATTAAAACTGAATGAGAAGCGGTCCTAACAGTTGATCAGATGCTGATGATACGAGTGTGAGCTCGTGTGAGTCCCAGTCCTCACCTGAGATCGCTCTTCTTCTGCTGCTGTTTGTGTCTGGATGAGCGTCTGCTGGCTGGAGGAGACACGGCGGGATCCTCAGACTCCATATCACTGGACAGAAGGATCCTGCGGGAGACGGCGCTCAGTGACTCTGAACACACACACGTGTGTCTGTGATGAGGACGTACAGTCGTAAACGCACCTGCTCTGCCTCTGTGTGTCTCTGTCTGAGCGTCTGACGGCCGGAGAGCTGCTGCTGCTGCTGGGACGAGCGGGAGAGGAGACCTGAGCTGAGGAACACTGCACCTCCATCAGCACACACTCAGACTCACTGAAATCAAGACATGACCACCAGATTCACTCATTAAACCACAGAGAGTCTCTTCTGTTGACAACACATTCATAAACCCTTACTAATGGACGATGTTCGGCACATGTTGTGTTGTCACAGCAGTAACTGTGAACTGAATCACGAGCTGCTCGTGTGTAAATGAACACAGTGCAGCACTTTGAGAGGAATATGACCGTCCCGTCAGCGTTTAGAGCGCAGTGCAGTGTTTCTCAGTCCATCAGAAACGATGAGAAACACCTATAATCACATCAACCTCTCCATCGCTGACTAACGTCTTCATTAAGACTTTCTGTTGATATGAGTTTGAGCTCATGTGAATCTGATTGTGAATCACCTGAGATCGCTCTTCTTCTGCTGCTGTTTGTGTCTGGATGAGCGTCTGCTGGCTGGAGGAGACGCGGCGGGATCCTCAGACTCCACATCACTGGACAGAAGGATCCTGCGGGAGACACAGATCCATCAGCCTTGATTATCACGGTGACCTCTCTTCCTGGTGATCTCTGTGGAGCTGCTTCGACACAGTCTGTACTGTATAAAGCCCTGCGTTAAGCTTCTCAATGGCCAAAACACATTACCGTTTCACGATCAAAACACAGAGTACAGACACTGGGGCAAAAGTATGGACTCCATGACTGAGAGCTGTGTGGTGAAGATGTCTGATGCTGACGCACCTGTTGCGTTTCTGTGTGTGACGAGCAGGAGTGCAGATCTGAGCTGACGAACACTCACTGAAACACACACACACACACACAGCGGTCAGACACTGGACGGTACACAACACAACACAATGATCTGGCATGTGACCTGCTGCTGAACCTGTTCTGTGTGTCTGAGCGTCTGACAGGCGTCTGGACCTCAGGATCGTCCGAGTCTGGGCCGCTGGGAACGACGATCCTGAAACACACGCTGCCTTCAGAGAAGAGCTCAGGCCCATTCACACACACAACTACACTACCAGTCAGAAGATCTGTGATGCTTTTTAAAGACGTCTCTTCTGCTCACCAAGCCTGCATTTATTTGATCCATAATACAGCAGAAACAGTGACATTTTGAAATATTTTTACTGCTTATAATAAATGTTCTGTGTGAATATCTGTTAAACTGTAATGTATTTCTGTGATGCGCAGCTGTATTTTCAGCATCATTACTCCAGTCTTCAGTGTCACATGATCTTCAGAAATCAGTATAATATGCTGATTTGGAGCTCAAACATTTATTATTATTATTATCAATATTTAAAACAGTTAAGTATATTTTTTCAGGATTCTTTGATGAATAGAAAGATCAAAGATCAGCATTTATCTGAAATAAAAAAGCTTTTGTAAAATTATACACTATACCATTCAAAAAAGTTAAAAACTCTTCCTGTCCAAAATCTTCTGACTGGTAGTGTAAGTCAACAGCTGTAAGCAGAACTACAACAGCAGCTAGTCAGAATGCTGGAGCTCTGTAACGTCAGACAGGTTCTGATTGGCTGTCAGTGTTTTTAATGGTTCTGGAAGCGCTATTGCTCCTCTGTGTGGTTATGGCTGTAAAGCCCTGTTCACACCAAGGACGATAACTATAAAGATAACGATATTAGCGTCCACACCAGCGAACGATATCGTCTGTTTATTCTCAGCACATGCGCGTGCGTCTGCCGCTTTAAATTCTCCAGCTCGTGACAGCAGGATGGATTCTGATTGGCTGTCAATGTTTGTATCGTTCATCAAGCTGGGAAAAAAAACCGCTCTGAAAGAGATTCAAACGATATCTTCTTTATCGTTATAGCTGTGGTGTGGACTCTGCCGTTCTTTATTATTCAGAACGATATCTTTATCTCTATAGTTATCATGCTTGGTGTGAACAGGGCTCTAGAGTGAATACTGTGAGGGTCAGATCTGCGGAGGTCAGTGACCTGATCTGCGTCTCCTCCTCCTCCTCCTCAGCGCTGAGCTGGCTGTCGTCCTCCTGCACCAGGCGTGAGATGGTCATGGCGGCGTATGCCGTCTCCGGCTGCGTCTCGGACAGGGCCAGGTGCAGCTCGGGGCTCTCCTCCTCCTGCTCCTCCTCCTCCTCCTCCTCCAGCTCCTGCTCCAGCTGCGTGAAGGAGACGCTGACGCCGTAGCGCTCGCTCAGCACGCCGTACACCTGCCGCAGACTGCGCAGACTCAGACGCGCAGACACACTGCTAACACACACCAGGAACAAGAGCAGACACACTTATACACTAGCACAGGATGGGTTCACGTTTACCCTTTTAGATTTACATTTGGTCTAAGGTTAGTAAACGTATGTGCTCGAGTCTTTGTGGTTTTTTTTCTTTAAATAACTCCATTAAGCCTTCAGTTTTAGTCATTTCTGTATTTCTACTTCTTATATTTCAGAGTTACCAAGACAGCATTTCTAATGTTCATTTAGGTTTTTACCTTTACATTTTTTCATCTAATATTTACATTTCATTTCAGGGTTGTGATGCACAGGATTAACATCAGACGCTTTACAAACACATCCATATTGCCATTTCAGCATTAATTATACACTATTTTAGAATTTATGAATATTTTGAGTTAGTTTTTTCATAGCTTCAAAGCTTTAGTAATTGTGCTTTTCTCAAATTATTAGTTATTGCTTGTATTAATATTTTGAGTTAACTTTTTATATTTTAAGTCATTTTAATTACAGTTTGAGTTTTAGTCATTTAGTTATGTGCTTTATGTTTCTATTTCTATATATTTTATCCCAGTTTTAGCTATTTAAATAATTCAACTTTTCAGTTAGTTGCCAAGGCAACATTTTTAATGTTTCATTTAAGTTTTGTATTATTATTTACATACTATTGTAGAATGTATTAATATTTTCAATGGGCTTTTATGTTTATGCCATATGATATAATATATATATGTATAAAGAAAATTCGGAGTATCGGCCGATTCTGTGCTAGTTGTAAGCCTTCAGTTTTAGTCATTTCTGTATTTCTACTTCTTATATTTCAGAGTTACCAAGACAGCATTTCTAATGTTCATTTAGGTTTTTTAGCTTTACATTTTTTCATCTAATATTTACATTTCATTTCAGGGTTGTGATGCACAGGATTAACATCAGACGCTTTACAAACACATCCATATTGCCATTTCAGCATTAATTATACACTATTTTAGAATTTATGAATATTTTGAGTTAGTTTTTTCATAGCTTCAAAGCTTTAGTAATTGTGCTTTTCTCAAATTATTAGTTATTGCTTGTATTAATATTTTGAGTTAACTTTTTATATTTCAAGTCATTTTAATTACAGTTTGAGTTTTAGTCATTTAGTTATGTGCTTTATGTTTCTATTTCTATATATTTTATCCCAGTTTTAGCTATTTAAATAATTCAACTTTTCAGTTAGTTGCCAAGGCAACATTTTTAATGTTTCATTTAAGTTTTGTATTATTATTTACATACTATTGTAGAATGTATTAATATTTTCAATGGGCTTTTATGTTTATGCCATATGATTTAATATATATATATGTAATTGTATGTTGATATTATATAGGGATGTAACAATACCATTTTTTCCGATCTGATCCGATCCAGAAAATTCGGAGTATCGGCCGATTCTGTGCTAGTTGGTACTAGTTTTCTTTAAATCAATGCAGAACTTCTATACCTCAATGTGTTGACCTGATCGTCACTCTTTTGTGTGTTAAACACAATTACTAAATATAGACAACTTCATTTGAATGAAAAATAACAAATGAAAAAATATATAATCATAATCTATGACAAAAATACTATTGTAAACTAGGTTAGAGGATAATTTAGCTGCAAAAGTTATTCTAGGAAAATCATGAGTGCACAGTAATTTGATAAAATCTAAACATTTAGTGAAGTAACGTTATTAAGTGGGGAACAAATAGAAGTGAATAAGTGTGCACTAGTAACAGCACTAGTTGACATCTCACTGGTGCTGTGTGTGTTTACCCATGATCCTCTGCGGCGGCACTGGTCTTCTGTCTGTCCTGTGAGGACGAGGTGACGGGCTCAGAGCTGACGCCGGGGTGTCCGGATCGCTTCAGCATCTGCACACACACACACACACACACACAGGGTGAGGAGAGACAGGAGCGTCTGAGGCGAGCGAGCGAGGCGAGTGAGGCGCACCTGCAGGAGGAAGGGCTCGGGGACGCGGTACTGCCGCTCGATGAAGTCCAGCATGTCCTGCTTGAAGTCGGCGTAGGAGCTGAGCTGCAGCACTGAGTGAGAGGAGCGCCGGCGCCGGATCAGACTCTCGAACAGCTTCTTCTGCACACACACACACAGAGAGAGAGAGAGAGAGAGAGAGTCAGAGACGTCACACACCAGACACACCGCAGCTCCGTCAGCTCCTCACCTTCCCGGCCGAGTCTGCGGCGTCGCTGAAGTGTCTCAGCAGCACCTCCTCGGCCCTGGCGAACTCCCCGCCGCGCAGGCACACCATGACCAGCTGCACAGACAGACAGAGACACGCTCAGGGTTTGTGCAGCCTTCTGAGAGAAATTCAAGCACTTTTAAATGACTTCCAGGCATTGCATGCAGCTATTTTCAGCTCAAAACACGATCCAAATTAAATGTTATTTTCAATGGGATGACCAAAATATAGTTTTGTGGTAAACAAACACCTACGTTAAATTAAAAAAACACATAAAATCGCCATTATAACCAGTAGATGGCAGCACTTATCAGCTTATTAGTCATTCATTTCTACTTTTAGCTTTATATTTAGAAATTATAAAATCACTGTTATAAACGATCAAATCATCAAGAAATCAAATTTTGTCAAAGTGTTGCACTTTTTTTGTGTCTGAAGTCAGAAAAGTCACGAAACGCCTCGAAGAACAAACTTTTCTTCAGTTTGCGACCGAATGACACCGAGCGCTTGCCGCTCAGTTCTGTGTGATACTACAGAAGAGTAGTGCAGCTCGTGTAATAAGAGCAGAACACACAGGTGTGAGATGAGGTTTTGCAGTGTTAGCATAGATCATTGAATCGGATTAGACCGTTAGCATCTCGCTCAAAAATGCCCAAAGAGATTCGATATTTATCCTATTTAAACCTTGACTCTTCTGTAGCTACATCGTGCACTAAGACCGACGGAAAATGAAAAGTTGTGATTTTGTAGGCCGATACGGCTAGGAGCTATACTCTCATTCCGGCGTTCATTTTCCGTCGGTCTTATCGTGTAATAGTCAAGCGCTCAAGCGCAGAGACCGCAAGTGTGTGGGTATTTGGACAGGGGGGCAGTGGTCGACCGATATATCGGCCGATAAATTTGGCATTTTTCAAATATCGGCATCGGCCGATAAGTTTCCTGTTTGGCCGATGCGTTCGAGGCGGGACTTTTATTTTGACGGCTCCGAGAGCGGCAGCGCCTGAACACACAGTGCTCACATTCTGCCTCTTGTTCGCCGTCGTCGTTAACAGTCCCGTCTAATACGGATAGAAGTCTGTCTAATAATCAGACAGAATGCTTAAACAACAAACAAACTTCCCAGAATACCGAGTGCCCTGTATTATATTTTTATTAAATATTTATTTATTTGTGAAAATACTTTGTCATCTAAAGTATACGTGTGTTTATTTTACACATGTATTTTTTGTATCCATTTTCAAATTTCTTAAACATTAATTAAAATAAATAAAACTATATCGGCTGTCAAAACACGCATATCGGTGGAGCCCGTCATGACCTGACCGCGCGTCACTTCCGCTCACTCACCGAGCTTGTCTCCGTTGTTGATCCGGGACAGGAACTGCATGCAGCGCAGCTTGACGATCATGTCGCTGTGTCCGTCGACGGGTCTGACCACCAGATCTGACACGACACACAGCGATATCATTATAGTGAGCGACACACAGAGCTCTGGCGGGTTGTGCGGGAGAGCGCTAGCGCTAGCGCTAAAGCTAGCGGATGTAAACAAACCCACTCACGCTCGATGATGCTGGTGAAGTGCGTGAAGGCCGTGTAGTCCGCGTCTCTGAAGGCGCTCAACGCCTTGAACACGTAGTAGTCGAAGCCCCAGCGGTTGATGATCCGCTCGTCGCTCGGAGAGCTCAGAGAGCAGGCTTTACTCGCGGACTCGCTCATCCCGATCAGCACACGCGCTTCCCGCGCTCAGACTGCAGCAGGGGGCGGGGCGCAGCAGAGGGCGGCGCCTCTGATTGGACAGCGCGATGTGACGCGAGGCTGATGTCAGAACACGTGTTGTTGATATATAGATATATAACTTATTCTTGAACTCTTACAGACTCAAAGAGCATCTCTAGTCTTAGAGGCAACAGGACACGTAATAATAATCTTCTTAAAGATGATAACTTCAATGCATGCGTTAAACATGTTTTAAAATGTACAATATGTCGATTTTAAAATCAATGGGATTTTTCCCCAATATTAATGTTAAGAACTTAATCAGCAAACCACAGGAAATAGAATTACTTGATAGTGTGAAACTCTATTTAGTGTTAAATTCTATTTACCAACCCTGTGTCTCTCATCAAATCAAAGAATACATTACTATTTATTTCACTTGCCCATTTCATTAAAACCTTAAAATGAAGATCCTGAATTCTATTGCTCTTCTTTCTTGTTCATACTTGCTACACAAGAAATGCAGGAGGTATTGCTTCTTCAACATGACCCATCTGGATGCTCCCGTTATTTACAGTATGAGACTGTGTTTACTAAACTGTAAAGGAATCTTCCATTTCCCCCGTTGCTCCACTGAACGTGCCATTCTTTAATCCCGTTCCTCCAGATGAAAAGCCTGATCTCTGACTGACTTCCTGGCGCTGGTATCTCTCTCGCCTCTCTCTGTAGAGCTTGCTCATCTCATTTATCCACTTCTTCATCGCTCTTCACTCCTGTGTGTGCGGGGACCCGTATAAAACTGTATTTGTAGGATACCACAAAGAATATCTTGGTGACATGATTTAAAAGATCTCAAACTCTTTAAGACTGAAACGGGAGTCAGAACAGTAGAAACTGCCTCATGAGCTGAAGTCTTGAATTAAAGCAGCCCCAGTTATTCGACGTTCTGCATCTTTTGAGCCGTCTGTGTACATCTGTATATATGCCAGGGGTATTGGACTCTGGCATACATTGAAAATGCAGATGCCAAGTCAGCTTCTCGTTCTGTTCTTTTAACCTCCAACAAATGCAGATCTGCTTGAGGTGTTACATAAACCCATGGTTCACATTCCTGGATAACAACTGTTGGGCTCATCTTGATGTTATTTACTTGTATTTCTTCTGCATATATTTTACTACTCCACCCAAAACTTATTCTACATCTTTCATTTTGTTCCCAACAGTTCTGTGGGATGTTCATCTTTATGCCCCTGGAGGTTAGCCCAGTAATTGACCATGAATTGTAAGACTTGTAAAGCTGGAATGGGTGTAGTCTTTACTGCTCCACAACACTGCCTCATCGCTTGAGCTTGAACTTTACTTAGTTTTTCCAACAGGTTTTTTGAGGCAGAACCATATACCACACAACCATAATCAAATACAGACCGTGAAGAAAAGTTATGAAGAAAAGCGTGCCCCCCATTCCCCTCCACTTACACATCTCATGACATTTCTCAACTATTTTATTAATATGTTCAGCCCAAGTAAGTTTGGCATCAAAAGAAATACCTAAAAACTTAAATACCGTCACCCTTTCTAATGATTTCTCATACATCTTCAAACTCGCTTCTGGAATAACCCTCTTCCTAGAGAAAATTACGGTTTTTCTTTTCTCCACTGAGAATTTAAATCCCCATGCGTATTCTTCTACTTTCCTTATTGCCTCTTGTATCCTCCTATTAATAT